ATTCCTTCCTAGGCAATACAAACAAGCTCTCACAGCAAACCACTTCTCCAAGTTGGTTTGTCTGACTCATGAACGTTGACTTCTGCAAGAAGGGTGTGGCACAATCAGTCTCTTTTATAATCAGGAGAGGATCTTAATAAGCATCAGCTAAGCGCAATCATCTCCTATAATTACGCAGTTGTTCCTTCCGCCGAGTAGCCCTTCGACGGCGTGCATCCCGAAACAACTCAGAAGTGTTTTCCTGAACACTCCCTCTGATTCAAAGCTCCACCGCCACCTGGTGGCCAACCAGTCTCTCGTCGCCCTGCTCGGAGTCAGCACCCTGTCCAGGATCCTCCACCTCCTCCAGGGCCGACTCATAAGACCCCTCGCTGTCGGAGTCTGGCGGCAGCTCCAACGGCTCCTGCTGGGCCACAACATAAAACTATGCCTTTTTCATCGAATAGAGCCAAGGATTGTTTTTAGTTAGAAGTTCAAGTCGTGGGCAGTGGGACAGCAGTGTTCCAAGCATTGGCCTCCCCAGTGCAGTATCAAGTGCTACAATGCTCAGGAGAACTTTCCAAGGCCATGCGTTTATTTTCTTTTCATCTCCCGCACAGAGCAGTCAAGTTCTCTGCGAAGCTGATGGGACAAGCAATGGCGAAGCGGGTCAAAGCAACCATCCTCTACGCCACAGAAACGGGGAAATCCCAGGTCTATGCAAAAACTCTTTGTGAAATCTTCAAGCATGCCTTTGATGCCAAGGTAAGGACCCTCAGCTTGCTTGGGCAACTCCCGGAGACCACAAGAGTGAATGGCCCAAGAAACACTGCCATTCCCAACAAGTTAAGAGCTGTCCTAATTATTTGAGGCTGAAATACAAAGTTCTCTTAGACCAGCCTTGAAAATCCTCCCTTTGTGTTTTGGGCAACAATCCTTTTGGGATTGTTTAATTATTTCTTTAGGTCAATTAAAGTTTGCAACTCGTCCAAAGTGAAGTTCCCTGATTTGTTGTTTCATTTGGCGATGTAGGAGATGACCAGGCCGAGAGCGAGGGAGGCATCAAAGGCCTCATCAGTCTTGCGTCCCTTTGCGCTGGGCCTAAATCCAGCCCGCCCCCTTGAATTTCCTTCCTTATCTCCCGCTCATTTCCCTTGACTGTTAGTGGTTCAGGTTCTCGTAGAGAGCTTACGCATGCAATAAAGCTTTATATTTGAACGGCTTGAATTTCCTGGTTTCCCCAGCATTTGACAGGGAAAAGAAAAGAACGCAGATGCAAATTGAGCTTTTAAAAAATGGCCATTTGAATCATTAAAAAAAAAGGAAAGTGACGGAGCGAAGCCAGCTATTTTTTAAACAGTATGCCACAATCTTTCTCTGTGGTTTTGTGCTTTTAGAGTCCCTTGGACTCCTGGGAAGAAACATTGTCCAACTGTCGCCCACAAATGTCCATATCGGTGCATATTTGCAGTTACAGAATACTAGAGTTGGGGGGTCTTCTCATCCAGCCCGCTGCTCAAGCAGGAGACCTCATACCATTCTGAACAAATGGCTATCCGGTATCTCCTTGAAAACCTCCAGAGATGGAGTACCCACAACTTCTGGAGGCCAGCCTGTTCCATTGCAGTTGGTGGCTTTCAAACCTTGTTCTTCTGAAACCACCAGTTTTATCTTTCCAGGTGACGTCAATGGATGAGTACGACATCGTTCACCTGGAACATGAAACCTTAGTTCTGGTGGTCACGAGCACCTTCGGCAACGGGGACCCTCCAGAGAATGGAGAGGTAGGAAGGGAGGCTGGCTGACCCTTGGCAGCTCCTGGTAATACATGTATCAACCCTATCATGTCTGTTCTATTTCTGCCAGCAAAGTCTACATTATCCATACTGAAATGGATTGAGACCATCTCTGATGGTTAAACCATCTTGTTCTGACCTAGGCTTCATGAGACAGTACAAAGCACATGCTTAGTCCCAAAAACCCTCTTTTAATTTCAACGGCTGTGAATCATGTACATTCACAGCCCTTAGTGAGTCACAAATAGTTTGTAAAGAGTCCGACAGAAGTCTGCCAAAGTCTTTCGGGATAAGGCTGATAAGCACACCTGCCTTTATCTCCCTTGAAACGCTATCGAAGACCTCATTGGCAATTAGCTTTGCAAGGCCACACAGAGCACAGAGTCAAAACGAAGCTTCAGAATTTAAACTGACCAGAACGAACAAAGTTGCTTCCTGCAAAGGCTCCTTTTTATGTCTTATGGGCCAATCCTCTCCAAGCCTTACTCCCAAGTTGCCTCTTTTTTCTTAGCTATTCTTGCCTTCTGGCAACTCTGTGCATGCACACACAGGGAACAGGCTCCTCCTGTTCCTCTGCCTCGCTGATGTCTGATTCAGCTTCTGATTCCGGAGGCTCTGGAGGCAGCACATAACTCCCAGATGTCCTTGGCCCCCTCTCTGCCTCTGACGCAGAGCCCTCGTCCAAGCCTTCCCCAGACTCCAGGANTTTTTGAAACCCACCACTGCTCCCTGTTGAGCAGAACTTCAAATTTCTGCTTTGTTGCAATCAAGTAATTGAAGATGAGGAAAAGTTAACGTCTTGCTTCATCGTACATCTGGACAGTGAGCTGTTTGTCCCTACTGCTGTGTCAGAGGCCATCGAGATTTAGCAGGACCAGTCCCAGGCTAGGCTACTATTACAACCTACTACATAGCAAACTATTATGCCAGGATCGTCCATCATCGGCCTGGTGTCTTGCTGGGTTCCTGCCATCAAAGGGGAAGGGAGGGGGAGAGGCATTTGGGGCAATCCACACCTGTGTATCTGGTGGTGGGAAATGGGGAAAGGGGAAGTGACAGGGGTGAAATCCAGCAGGTTCTGGAGAACAGGTAGCAGAAATTTTGAGTAGTTTGGAGAACCGGCAAGTGCCACTGCTGGCTGGCCCCAGAGTGGGGTGGGAATGGAGATTTTGCAATATCCTTCCCCTGCCACGCCCACCAAGCCACGCCCACCAAGCCACACCATGACCACCAAGCCACACCTACAGAACCGTTAGTAAAATTTCACCACTGCTTTGATCATATATATGTTGACAGCAGCAAGACTTCCGTATGCATAAAAATGGAAGGACACTTCGATTCCCACCAGGGATGAATGGCTGCAAAAGCTGATGGACATGGCAGAAATAACTAAATTGACCATTTTGATTAAAGAAAATAATATTAGTACTTTTGTTGCTACATGGAGATGGCTTCTGGACTTTGTGCTAGCCTTTACAAGTCTTATAGAGTGCGCTTGGGGGCTTGGGGAGCAAAAATGAGCAAAAAACGGCCCATTTTTGCTCGATTTTGCCCTCCCCAGCCCTCAGGAGCACTCTGGAAGCCTCCTAAAGGCAATACACGGCCATTTTTGCAAAGGGGGTGGGGTTCCAGGAGGCCAAAAATGCTGTATTCAGTGTATAAGATGCACCCAGATTTTCACCCTCAATTTTGAGGGGAAAAGGTGTGTCTTACACTCCGAAAAATATGTTAAATTATATTGCAGGTGGGGGGGGGGGAGAACTGCAAGAAAAAGAGAAACATCTAATGCTCTATTGAACTGGAATGCAGGTAGATAATGTAATGCTTATAAATGCATAAAAAAATATCGGGGGAGGGGGGGTTCAGACATGTATGACAGAATCTGTTTGACAATCAAACTTTGATTTTGGGTTTTACTAATTCGATTGTTAGATGCTTATAGAAATGAAGTTTATATTACTATGAAAAAGCAAAAAGTGGTGGTTTGATGTTAATGCTTTATTTTACTGCAACAGAGGGAGTCGGAAGTCAACACTGCAACCATTTTCTTTCAGTAAAAGTTCCTTTGCTTCAACGAAATGTAGTCATGAATCTTACTTTCCTGAGAGAGCAGAGAGAGAACGTAGGTTTCACTTAACGGCTGCTGCAAAAAAGGTCATAAAAGCAGGTTTGGGGTTTTGACTGTTGCAACATATGACTGTAATGGGAGGTTCCATTACAGTTGCATGTTAAGGACTTCCTGTATATGACAACTGCAGGGTAGTTATTATATGCACCAACACAGAAGACTACAAAAACAGCAGTAATGAATGAATGTATCGCAAAAGTCACTAAGTTTGCAGAAATGGCTAATAAATCAGTTTATTTGACAAGGAGGAACTACAACGACTTTTCTAAAAGATTGGAAACCTTTTATGGACTTTTGGCTGAAAATAGAATAAAATTGAACTGGTGATTTCAGGATTTATTGATGAAAAAGGTTTTTCTATGACAATATTTCTCAACCTTGGCCACTGCGAACTACGCGGACTTCCAATTCCCAGAATTCCCTGCTGGCTGGGGAATTCTCGGAGTTGACGCCCACACAATTTAAAGTTGCCAAGGTTGACAAACACTCATCTGTTCTGACCCCCCCTCCTCCGTCCAGGAACGAAAGCCAAAAACAAACTTAAATAAGAATACTTTTAATCAGTCCAGACTCTCGTTGGCTGCAAGCCCAAAATAAACAAAGAGATAAGCACTCTGGCAGCAAGTACTACAAACCTAGGCAATGCAAACAAGCTCTCACAACAAACCACTTCTCCAAGTTGGTTTCTCTGAATCGTGAATGTTGACTTCTGCAAAAAGGGCGTAGCACAAACAGTCTCTTTTATAATCAGGAGAGGATCTTAATCAGCATCAGCTAAACGCAATCATCTCCTATGATTATGTTCTTGCCACCGAGTAGCCCTTCGACGGCGTGCATCTTGAAACAACTCACAAGTGTTTTCCTGAACACTCCAAGGCGTGATCCAAGGCTCCGCCGCCA